CACAGCTAGAGGTTTTGTTGAGTTACGTCGTGCCAGCTTTCATAAAGTCAGTTACCACATCTCTGTGTTAACACTTCATGTTTTTATGAAATTCTAATTTGTGGGAAACTTGTATGGCTAAGGACGTACGCTTTTGTTCCAACCCATCAATTCAATAGGAGTGTTTCCACTTGAAGTTGGGAGGTACATAAATATGTAGCTATCTTAAAGCACGCTTTGTCAAGAGGAACATCAGCACAACAGCCATCAAGGAATGTTCCCCAAGGCTGCAGCAGCAAATTTTCTACTATTGCAGGTGCCTTACTGGCAGAAGGCTCCGAAGAGCTAAAAGTATATGCAAAAATTGTATAGTTTTTGGTTTTTAGATAGGTGTTTGCTATGTAGCCCAGGCTGGCCTCAGACTTACAATCTCCCCATGTCTACTCCTTTAAGTACTGGATTACAGGCATGCGCCAGACTCAGCCTACTTGTAAGATTTTAAATAAATTTTAATAAGATTTTCCTGAAGCTTTGTTAAAAATCATGTGTTATTTCTGGTAATTTCTCCCCCTTTTGTATTTATAACTGTACTAATCAAATTACCTTCAAGAAAACCATTGCTATAATATTTTAAAGTAACCTATGTTTATCATGGTTATTCTCTGAATGAGAGGATATACTAAATAAAATATTTTTAATGAACTTTAGAAGCAATGTTAATCATTTAAAGAAGAACTTATAATCAGTTGAGTGGTCCTTTGTTCTTTGAAAGTAAACTGGGAATATATTTCACGATCTTGTTTGGTTTCATGAGCAGTGAAACCCAACTGATGTCACTCAGATGTTTCTGAGGAACTGGGAATCATGTTAAGAGAATGTGAAAGTACACACTGAGAGATTTCAGATTATCACTGATAAGAACATTGCAAAGCAATCCCCAGGACTGGTTTCTGAAGTCTTCTCTTAGCTAAAGATATACTGGTAGTTCTCAATAATAGTTAAAACTAGCTTAAAGTTGAAAAACCACAAGAGCTTACATGAAGCAGCCTTTCCGACCTTAAATTTGACCCAGGTGTTCTTTCCCCCCATGTTGTTTTCTCTATTTGGGGGCAGGTGGTGTCAGTTTATCAGTATCATGAAGGTTTTTTTGTTTGTTTTTTTCCCCTCAGATTTATTTTTCTGTGAGTTTTCTGCAGTGGTCAGGATACTGGATACCCTAGAACTGGAGCTACAGATAGCTTTGAGCTGCCATGTGGGTGCTGGGAACAGAACCAAGATCCTCTAGAAGAGCCTCAAATGTTCTTAACCACTAAGCCAACTAACTAGCTCTCTAGCTTGTTTTTTAGTTTAATATGTATTCTTGCTGATCCACTGAGCAGCTGACTTCTCTTGGCATTTTACCAATACCTCTCACTTAAAAAATCCGAACTTACAAATTTAATAACTTAGATGTATTCATTTGTGTTCACCACTACTGTGAGAATCACTAAGTACCACCTTTTCTTCAGTCTCAAATGCATGTCCAACCATACCAGATTATACTGCTCCAGAATGCTTTAGTGTTGTTGTTCAGTCAAGAAATGCCCTCTGACTTACTTGGTCCTGCCCTATATCTAAGCTCCTTCCCTAAATCTAATCCGAATTAACTGTTCTCCAATCTGCTGATAGAATGCTTTCCATATCCTATATTTATCTCTCTTGCTAGACTAAAGTGCTTGAGGCTAAAAACTATATAAAGTAAGGGGCTAGAAAGATAGTTCAGTGATTTAAAGTACTTGTTCTTGCAGAAGACTCAGGTTTAGTTCCTATACATACATGGTGGTTCACAACCAC